CCATGGGCACACTGACATTCACGGGGTTCAAGTGCTGCAGGTGCAGCCACGGGCACACTGACACTCACGGGGTTCAAGTGCTGCAGGTGCATTCACGGGGTTCAAGTGCTGCAGGTGCAGCCACGGGCACACTAACATTTACATTGGTGTAACCTCGGCTGAGGTTCTCATTCCAATGTTGGAATGCGCTAACTTAACTCACACGCTGTGAAGCAAGCAGAAAACCCACAATACAGTGCTTCCATGATTCACCTGATGCAGACACAAACTGGTAACTGAAGACCCAAATCCTACCAACTGTCCTTTTGGTTTATATTTATATCAATAATCTCCAGTCTCATGCTGGCCCACATCCAGCACATCAGTTACCTGTCTGAACAGCTGTAGGCATTTGGGAGTGTAAGCTCTGATCTGTGATTATGAAGTTAATGGAATACTGGGGGTGGGGGCAGTCAAGGATTTTTGGTTTTGATCAATTACTTTTGTGCCCATTCAGAGGTCAGTAGTGTAACACTGTTTAAACCAAATGAGCCACACAACAGTGCCAAAAGCAACGAATCTGGGAAAGGGACAGGTGTGGGAGATGACAGGTGTAGGAGGCAAATAAGAGAGGTGATTGTGAGAAAGTCACCAGAATGCATTGCGTAGATGTACAGCATTGTTAAGAACTTATAAAACTAGAAAAAACCTTCCTGATGCACCTAAAGATTTTTAGATTTATTTCTTTCTCAATTATGTGTATGTGTGCATGTACATGTATGCAGGTGTCCAAGGAGGCCAGGAGTGTCAGATCTCACTGGAGCTAGGCTCACAGTGGTTTTGAGCCATCAGAAGTGGGTGCTGGGATCTGAACTCAGATCCCAGGCAGGGAAAGTACACACTCTTAATTGCTGAGCCATCTCTCTAGCCTTGTCCTGACATAATTTTTTGCATGACTATGTGTTATTCATATCATAACCCAGATAATATGTTACACAGTGGGTAGCGTGGCATATCAAATTAAATACCCAGACTATATGGAGACATGCAAAATAAAATTGTAAGACAAAATAATTGCCAATAACTCCAACTGGAAATGAGCACTAATTTCTCTCACTAATTTTACACTCACTTGTATCTGTCTAGGTGATTTTAAAACATGAACTTAAGAGAATGTCTCTGATCCTTTCAAGGTGACTTTAAAGACAAAAGAATTGGTAGCACTGTTTGGTAAGGATTGGGAGGTGTGGTCTTGTGGAAGGAGGTGGTCTATAGGTGTGGACTTTGAGGTTTCAAAAGCCCACAACATCCCAGTTAGCTCTCTTTGCCTTGTGGTTGCTGTCTCAACATGCAAGCTTTCAGCTTCTTCTCTAGTGCCATGCTGGCCTACTGCCATGCCCTCTATCATAATGGTCACGGACTCATCCTCTGAAAATGTAAGCACCAATAAACTCTTTTTTCTATAAGTTTCTTTGGTCACAGTGTCTTAGCACAGCCATAGACATGTAACTAATACACCAAACAAAAATTATATGCAACTCTGTCAGCTTACTCCAGTACATCATTTGGAATAAGAGTTTCCTGAATGGCTGACCCAGAAGATTGACAACAGAGTATTATACTGTGTATGAACATAGTATGAGTCAATATTATAATCATGCTTGGATTCTGTATGCTATTATTTTAGTGAAACACAACAGAAACAACCTAGAGACTTATATATAATTGGGGCATTTAACACCAGATTTCAAAGATCTAACATTTGACTTTAATTTACTTCAAATACCTCTTTTCTATAAGGACAAACATCTTCATAAAATGTTATGCCTAAGCTGAGTAATTGTCAAAAGGAAGCTTTAAGCTTTTCAGAATTATAGAACATTTTACCTGCACACACTCATTGGTCTTGGTGCCTCTTCCAAAGCACAAGATAATTTGTAACCTGACATTTCAGTTCAAAATAAGCATCACTGTAGCATGAATCTTAAATAAGATGGTTGGTTACACCTACACGTCACTATTGATATGTAAAAGAAAACCCACTCCTGGAATGATGGTTTACAGAAAATAAGACTTGTTGTTCAAAACTAATTCCCTAATCATACTAACAAATGAAAAAAAAAAACTTTCATCCATAATAAAATTTAATGTATAGAACACAATGTTCCACTATTGAGTAGGAAATTTACACAGACAACTCTATCAGCTGACTGTAGACATGGAAGGGGTATAAATTTGTTCTACAGAGCTCTTTGGACCAAATCATCAGCAGAAGTGAACATTATTGCTAGGGAACATCAGGTTTATTCTTTTTATGTTGAAACAGAGAATAAATCATAACCCAGAATGCATTCTAGAATTTAAAATTTTCCATTTTGTTTTCAAATTCTATTTCCTTCTAGGAACATTCACACCATTGCACCACACAGGAAGGGACCAAATCAATGTTAGGAGTATCATTTGCAGCAGCTAAAAGTGAGGTGTGCCATCAGTAAAGTGGTTCAGACACACAGAACCCCAAATGTGCTGTAGATTCCTTTATGATGTGATTGGACATCCATGTCCCATTTGCAAATGTAAAATGCACGATGAAGACATTTTCAACATGGCTTGTCAAATTGCTAAATGTGAACCTGCCAGGTTACCTAGGCACTCTATAACTGCTGACTCCCAGCCGTCCAGGAGGTCAGAAACACTTTAAACTAATGTAAGAATGAATTGAATATGATTTAGTCAGCCAATGAGAAGTTGGTTTTCTGATTTAAGTTATAAGAACTGGTGAAACATGAGACATTCATGGATGAAAGAAAGCAAGGCTGGTAATGAACTCTCTCACAGTTCATGCAGTAGAGACAATCTTTTAGTACATTTTATCATTAGCAACCATCCCTCTCCCAGCACCTGTTTCTCATGCCTTTCCTACTCTTCACAGAATTTATACATACATGGATTTATATGCAGGTATACGATCTTTATATCTACTTATTCACTTATCCTTCATAAACTCCAATACTATAAGACACACATGTTCCAGACTGTGAGGGCCAGATCCTCACCTGTAGAAGTACGAACACCCCCTGACTGTGTTGTGAGTGAAATGTTCCTGAGTCTTCTCATTTCCAAAGTCCTCCAGGGGGTCTGACCACAGGATGTCACACATGGGCCCGTAAGCAGGTGGTTCTTTGAATCGGTCTAACTAAGAAAAATAGAAGACAGAGAACAAAATACTCATCTTTGGACACTTAGAATTCAGAAAACACAGGAAACCAGTTCTGAGTGATGACCATCTGCACCCCCCACCCCCTCCACCCTCCCCACCCCCTCACCCCCGCTAGCCTCAGACGGAGGAAATGGCATCTACTCTTCTTTCAATCCCCACTTCACCCAAATTCTGCCTATTTCTCCGGTTTTCCTTTCTTCTTTCCCTTGATGAACCCACTAAGTATCCGCCCTCCTCTCCCCCTTTGCCTCTCTCCTGTCTCTTTAATCCTTACACTTTCCCCTTGTTTTTCTTTCACCCATTCCCTTTTAATCCTTCTCTTATTTTTTTCCATCCAAATGACAGTCATCACGGTTTCAATCTATTCCTGTCTCATCTGTGAAGGAGGAGCTTGGTTTTGTTCTGTCTACTCCCTGCAGAGAACTGTCATTTAAAACCCGGATAAGAATTCCCTGTGATATTTTTTTAATCTGACCAAATGATTTTGAGAATGGGTGGCACGTGCTTTGTGCCCTATTGATACTCACTCCTTAGAGGTCACCTATGCTCCTAGCTGAAGTACATGCCATTTTGTAGTTGGTGCAAATAAGAGTGGGACAGCAAAATAACTCCAAATTTCTCTAGCCACTTGTATGCTCACACTTCTATGCCCTAGCTCCTTCCTTGGGGCCTTCCTATGAAATTAGTTTCCCATTTATAAACTGCTTGGCCATCATCTCCCTACAGTTCTTCAAACACTGAGCACCTAGCCTTGCAGTCTGTGCAACACAACCCCAGAAGAAATAGTAACGTGCCCCCCACGAGAGGATATCAACACACAGAGAAGAATTGAGGTGTACTTGATATGCTTTCAGTTCATTTTTAAAGATTTATTTTAAAAACCAATGGTGTTATATGTTTATCTGGTGCACTGGTATGAATATGTGGGCAGAGGTGCCCACTGAGGCCAGGAGAGGGCATCAGATCCTCCGGGGCTGAGTTGAAGGGGGTGTAGAGAGCTGCACGACATGACTGATGGGAACCGAACTCCAGTCCTCTGCCACCAACATCTCCTTAGCCCCTTGTTTGAGGTTTAAAGAAAAGACAGTAACACACTTACTTTCTAATAGGAAAGAAAGAGCATATTACTCCATCTACTCCTGAGAGTATAAGTCAGTTGCATCTTAATGACAGAGTTTGCAAGGAAGGACTTGAATTTTTGGCTTCCTGAGATAAAAACAAATACTAATTTCATGGCAATAAATAGTTATGATATAGAAAGATATTCATGACTCAATGTTATTTTCGCATTACTATGAGTTCCAATAAAAATTATGAGAGCACCAGTAAGCTGTATGAGGATGATTACTCATTTTAAAGTTCAGGTATATATATATAGCCAATGACTATATCTTTAACACAATAGTTCAATAGCCATATCCTATCTGTTTTTTACCTATAAAACAATACAAAGGTTATAGAATGAATTTTCACCACTTCTTCCTGTTAGAAGGATGCTTGATGCACTTTGTGTCTTTCATTTAAGCCCATGAACTTGCCGATGCCATCATGTACCACCACATACATGCATGTCTGTGGTTCTCAGCATTTAATAGAACAAGTCCGGTTGCTTGTACTGCTACATGTTCCATTTCCCTGCCACGATCAGCTATAAAGTTACCAGTATACAAGGATATGTGATTATTACATTTCATCACTAAACACAATGGAAAATACTACTTACTAAATGAATATTAATTAAAGACAGCTTATATAATTAACTTGTAACTGCTGTTTAGAATACCAATCTGTGAGGCAGTAATGGAAACATTCAAGTTCAAGAAAATTAGGAAAGAAAGTATCAGTTACTAAAATGACATCATAGGGTCTCATGTCTGAATACCCATAGGCAGAATTTGAGTTTTGTACAGGAAGAATCCTAAGTGAGCTTTTACTGGAGCAAGATCAGTATACTCACTGGCATCAAGGTTACTGTATGGCTTGTTTGAAGCTAGAGTTTACTTATAACAGACCAGGCTCAAATAAATACCAGACAGCACGCATCTTTCTAGCGAAACTCAGCCAAATGCCAATTTTAATAGTTGAAATGCAGCAATGTAGAATGTAAGCAACTTATTCTTTCTAAAATGACTGTCAAGAATAGTAAAAGGGGATCAGAATCACTTCCATATTCCCTTCTGTGCTTGGAAAAGTATAAGCTGTTTTCTTAGGTCTCTAAAAGGAAAGGAGAGGTATCTGCGACAGTTTTTACACATCATTAATTCTTGCAGGAAAAATGTGACTGGTTTCTTAGCTCAAAAGCTTCATGGTAAAAATTATATCCAAATTATGATACAGTATGCTGTACACTTTAAAGTATAAAGTATATGTGCACATAATACTAGAAAGTGTTATTATTGTGCTGTCTTTTGGAAACTTGGGCACCAAAAATACAATGAGTTGGGTTTTTTTGTTGTTTTTTTATAAACCGTCATGTCTTTTCTTACTTTGCTGCATTATCAGAACATAAACATCGAGAAATAAACCATTACTTCTGTTGTGCAGCACAGTTTTATGAAAAGTACACAACATACTTCCTCATCCCCCTCAGTAAGCCTCCTGCTGGGAAAAAATAGCAACAGAAAAAAACAAGCAAAAGTATGCTTCTGAAAAAATGCCACTGTTTTTTATGCAGTACCTAATACAGTCAATATAATGTTATCTTTCTCTTGGCTAGATGCTGACTTCATTATTTTATATTGGAACAACAACAGCAAAGACTATCATGATAAAGACATTTTAAAGGTCAAGTTGTGCTACTTTCTCCAAAGGCCAAGTAACTTTTCCAATGTAATATATCATGAATATATGATGGGCCATTTGAAAAATAGGAAGACGAAACTGCCTACATACTCTAGAGATCAAACATACGATATTTTTAATGACATGTGCCACATGCTAAGCCAAACCCCAAGGGTCTAGAGATGTATCATCATTTTGAGCTAAAAAACTGATACATATCAGGGGGGTGTGCGTGTATTCAGTTATTTTAAAGGAAAAGGGTGCAAGCAGAGACAGAGGCAGCACAATTCATGTCTCCCAGCAACCGCTGAAGGGCAGAGAATGAGTAGACCTGGACAATAACAGAGCTTACTTTTCTGATGTCATCTAGAGTGTTAATCTCTGGAGACAAACCGCCATGTACACACAGGAACTGTTGGTTCATCAGTGCGGCCAGGGGAAGGCAGTCGAAGGCATCCATACAGGCATCATATACTCGTTCTGAATACTTTATTTTACCTTTGAAATGTGGTGAGAAGCAAACATTTATTCTCATGCCTTTATGACTAGGACCATTTCATTGAAATTGTTTTGTTTCTTTTTAAAGTTTTCTTGTCAGGATAATATGAATATGACCCTTCAAAACAGAATTAATATGATTTCCAAGACTCGAGGATTAACTTTCATATACAATATTTTCTATTTCTGATATCCATCCATATTGTTTACATTTTATAAATTTTGTCTAGTAAATACAAAACTTTTTACACACTTTGCATATATATATGTTTGTTTATAAATATATAAAATGCATGTATACACATAGATTTGAATATGTGGAAGATAACGGAGAGAGGGCCATAAAGCTGGTTTATATTCCCATAAGATTCAGTAGAAAAGCCACAGCCACAAAACTTTCTGAAGCTTTTCTGCTTTACAGAGTTCTGATTTCCCCATATTGACTCACAGCTAATGTTTTTAGGAAAGTCTTTATGTTTCACTGAATATAAAACCAAATTACAGAGAAAAAAAGAATTAAAGTTTCAGTAAATAATGGGGAAAACAGACAGGAAGAAAACAAAACTTATACAAAGCATTCCCTAATCCAAGTACTTATGTCTAAAGGAAGGCATCAACTTTCATTTGGTCTAACGTCCTAGAAGCTGACATCTATGAGGCTGCAAAACAGAGGTTCAGTTTGGCCCCCATTTTCTTTTCTTGACTTGAGTAAGATTAAAGGGTGGAATCAATTTCTTAAACACTAGTTGTGTACTATGACATACATGAAACTTTAGCTTAGATTAATAGGTCCCTTGATAAAACTTATAATTAAAAAATACATTCTGGCTTGACCATATGCCAGCCTTGCGTAGGCTCGCATAGTCACTGTAAGTTCATGGGTACAGTGGTCCTGTCATGTTCAGAAGATACTGCTTTTTTCTCTACTTTCTCAACTTCTGTCTTTTGCACTCTTTCTGCCCCTCTTCTAGCATGGGAGCAGAATGGATTCATGAGCTCTGTACGAACTGAGGCACTGTGCACAGCTGATGGCCTCTCCAGGAGGAGGAGTCAGTTTTCTTTAAGGGTGTGACCTGGCACAGGCTGACTATGCTCTATCGGATGGCCCCACACCTAGGAGTCTATGAGTAACCCAACTTGGAAATGGAAGGTGGGAAACAGCATAGAGTTCTGGGTGTAGGGAGGTGGGGAGGTGAACCAGGGAGGAGTTAGAGGGAGGAGTGAAGAGCAAATATGACCAAAGTACATTGTAGGTTATTCTTCGAGAATTATAAACATAATTTAAATTATGTATTCTTAAAACTGTCCATGTTTAGAAGGATGGCATGAAATAATGTCAACTAAAGCTTTTGACCTTTATGCAGAGAATAATAATAGAATATGTTTTCAATTATCAGTTAAAATGATCATTCAGTATCTATGACCATAAAGGAAAAAGTCTCAGTATACTTACATTCTTGTTTAAATGTGAAATACTCTGTTAGATGTCTACATTCATGATTTCCACGAAGTAAAAACAGTGTTTTGGGGTAAAGAATTTTCAAGGCCCACAAATACAGCACACACTAAGGAAAAAATAAACATAAAATAAGCATCTTCCTTTATCTGTGCATTTTATCAATTAACAAGATGTCAATGTATCATCAAGGCCAACATTCCCAACCTCAAAGGATACTTAGAAACAAGCAGAATAAAACCTAAGGTACCACTTTCAACAGCTCTCTTGGCATTTGATTAATTCTTTAAAAGTTACATTGATTTGTGTGTGTGTGCGTGCGTGCGTGCGTGCGTGCGTGCGTGCGTGTGTGCGTGTGTGTGTGTGTTCATGAGCACATGTGTGGAGGTCAGTGGACAACACACTGGAGTTTTTTCTCTGCCGGGCTCAGGTTGTCAGGCAAAGCCGTAAGTGCCTTTACTCACTGAGCCATGTTACTGGCCCTTATCTTGTCCTTTATTTCATTGTCTTTGTGAGACAGAGCAGAGCCCTACTTTTTTATATATAAATATATATAAATTGAAGGGCAGGGAGTCTCAACACATTCACTACTGAAAACAGGGAATGCACTGCTTGCGCTTTAAAACTCTCAAATGAGTTCATTGGACATCGTAAAATGTGTGATGCTGATGGCTAGCGACACATGGATCAGGTTTGGAATAAATCTTCATTGACACAAACTTTATAGAGATGAGGTGTAAGCGGAACAATCAAATATTAATACCAATATACCCTCAAGTGGCATTCATTAAGAAACCACACAGAGCACAAAACAATTCTTTGAAAAACAAGCATGCTGTCTTCTCTTCATGAAGCTTGTGCTCCCAAAGTGCATCCAAGGCAGGGACAGGACAGAAATACAAACAGACCAGACTCTGATTACTAAAACACACATAATATTCACACTTCATTCACTAGTCTTCCAACACACAATACATATACTGGGTAATTCTAAAGAGAAAACCTATAGGAAATGTATCTGTTGGCTACCTGGGAAGGATATTCACCTGTAAACTTCTGTGATAAATTACCAAAGCTTGGAAATAATTATGCTTGAACATACAGCCCAGGGGGTTTGAGAAAATACTAATTAAGGAGACAAGTGTAGATTACTGTGATGTTCCAACAACATGTTATCTTCGAATATGAAATAGTGATTGAAACACAGAAAAACAATAGTTTGGCATTAGTGTGCGTGTGTGTGTGCTGCTTTATTTTTCTAACTATAGTCATTAGCTAAAGTTCATGTGATTAAGATCCTAGCATATCTGAGGAGCTGACCAACTGTCGTCTATAAGGGGTTCTTGAAGCAGCATGATCTCTCTCTATGCCTGCAAATCTCCCTGCCATCTCAGTGAAGAGTGAGGCAGCCTAATGAGTCCTTGCTACGAATCCTAGTTTCGAACTCCTCTTACATGTTTAATTAAAAGGAGTTTGTATTATTCAAATTTGCCTCATATTTCAGAGAGGGCATTTATTATGTGCCATGAATGTCAAGGAGAGGACTATCACCAATCAAAATTGTGAAGATTGCCCCTTGATGCAGGTGATGGGTATGTCCACACATACCTACTTGCAAGCTGGCAGTTAAGTAGGAATGCCTAATTTGGAAAAGGAATGCTTATATAAAGACCCTTTAAATATATGCGAACAGGTGCTTAGAAACAGTTTATGCCAAAAAGCACTAAAGCCTTACTTGGACTCATCAGTTTGCGATAGGCAGGACATAAGCCTGGCATCCCTGTCTGCATCTGGCATTGTTGCTTTGCCTTGAATCTTTAGGTCGGAATCCTGCTTAACTCTGCACACTGGTGTGTCACTCCTGTCTGTAAAGCCAGTACTGCCTAACCTATCCCAATTGCCTGGACGGAGGGTACAAAGGTGACAGTAACTGAGGCATCTTACTGTCAGGTTTTTCCACGTCCTTGGGTTCAGCCATTGTCCTAAACCTGCAGTTACACTAGCTTCTAGGAATACCAGGGGTTTGCAACATGCTACCCTTTGATGAGCTCACCCTCAAGCAGAGGCCATCACCACAGGGAAGCTGGATTGTTCTCCCAAGCAACAGAGCAACAGGGACTTGCAGAACAAGCAACAGGAACACTTGCAGAGCCAGATCTGATGGAGTCGGACCTCATGCACACTAGGAACTGCTTGCCGCTGCACACCACCTGCCCCTAAGCCAGTTCTCCCTCTACTTACACTTGAAACTCCTGTCAGGAGCCTGAAGACTGACTTGGGGTCATGGAATCCTTTTCTGTTCCTCTCCCCAGTGAGCTGTGTCAATTAAAAGTCTGCTTTCTGCCTTCTACCGCTACTCTCCCTAACTGGATAACCATGGCAGGTGGCTGAACCTAGTCTGTTGGGAGTCCTGGGCTAGCACACATGCACTACCACAATTCCTACCTGGGTGTGTTTGATTTACAGTTCAGTGAGATGCATACGATCTAGTTAGTACAGATATTTTTTTAAGTTTTTGAGTACAACGCACGTAACACTAGATATACATGTCATATACAACTCTACGAAAATGTACATATATGCGCCCCATGAAACCGCTACATGGTCCTAGAATCCATAATGCTTTCTCGTGCTCCCTCCTTGTCAATAACTTTTTGAAAAATTTAACCAAAATTCTACCTCTTCAGATCCATTTTTTCCCATAATAATTTATCTTGAAATAAAGCAATTATCTCTCCATCTAAAATCTAAACTGCATTTTGTAAGCCCACTTAACTACTTACCAGACTAGAGGAATCGTATCTGAAGACCCTCATTTTCTTTATGTCAGTGGTTAAAAATCTTATTCTGATACCAGCATGCAGCCTTTTAACTTCATCCCTTAGTCTTAATTACTAAAGTTATTTCATAACTGAAACCTTAAAGATAACCAGAAATATCCTAAGCTAAATATTCCTAGTATTTATACGTTCACATTTAAAACGATGCAATATACAACACCTTTGTGGATGTCAACTACTCAGCAGGTGGCAAGCATTTGGGATATATTAACCCCATCTTTGCAGAAGGAAAGGTGGGGAAAAAGAGGGAAGAGGAGGGGGCAATAAACAAAAAAGAGAGGAAGAGAACAGAAGGAGGGGAGGAAAAAGAAAAAGAAAAAAGGAAAGAAATTAACTCAGTTTTCCAACTCCTTGGCTCAAAGCTTTCAAAAGTGCGAGTCATTTTGTTTTCCACATAGTGTTTCCTTTTCCCCCGTGGCAAGCACGAAATACCTTCCAAACACTCAATGAAACCGCACACACAGCCAGCATGGAAGAAATGGCATGGGCAGTGAAAGGGCAAGGGTGGACTGGAGAGTGGAGCCCTGCCAGCCTTCACCCTCAACATCTGCCGGGACAGGGCTGCCCAGCACAGCAAGGTCTTGTGGCAACTGCTTTATCATCTCCAGTGCCAACATTCTGAAAAGCTGAAGGTCTTTAACAAAATTATGACCTCAGATTTGTTTTCAAGCACAGACTCATAAAAATGATTATAACCAAATGAAGCAAGAGAAATCAATGTCACTCAGGTGTTCCTGGGTGACTGACGTGAGTCACCATTTCGCTGTCAGTTTGTGAAGGCAGAAAGAGCACCCTGTCACATGGACCTTTCTTGCAGGCTAAGATGGAAATCATCCTACCTGTTAACTAAACAAGTATTTACAACTACTAGTCAGAGTCACTCAATCTGAAAGATTGCACTGATTTCCGTCATAACCATTGCTTCTGCTAATGTATGACTCATTCCTAATAACATATTCCTAAGAACATTGTTCTCTTAGTTCACTGATAATAACAGTGAAACAATTTACTTAGTAATTTAAGTATTTAGATGGACAGTCTCCTTTTAAAATTGCACAGACTTTTTAGGAGAAGCAAGGAAGTCAAAAGGAGAATACTGTTTTAGCTACACACTGATCAGCTCCCTGAACTGGTAACTGCCCATGCCTCAAAATGTTCTAATCAAAAAGGATGCTTCTCTGTCACGGATGGCTAAGTGCAGGCTATCACATAAACTTGGACAGGACCCAAACTCCGGCAATATGGAACATGACTTCTCTAAGACATCATTTGTCTGGTCTGACAAGCACACCGTGAAGGGGCAGTCAAACATCAGGGCACTGTCAGGATCGCTAGCTACCAAGACCAGTGGCCCTGATTGTCACCTCCATCACGTGTTCTACTGCTTGCTTGTTATTCCCAGGCGGCAGCACCACGGAATGGGAATGCTGCCTGGCTTGCCGTGCTTCATTCTAGTCCACAAGTTCACAGCTAATAAACACAACAGCTTTTCACACTTCAGTGTGCTGGAGGCCCTGGCTGAGGTCCGGATGCAAGCAGAAGAGGAGAGGCCAGCTCACTGTGAACTCAAGGATGGTGTGTTGCGGAATACCTGCAAAGAGCCTAACGAAGTAAACACAAGGAAACAGCTGTGCATGACTCTGCTTGCAGATTCGGGACTCTGCCTAGGGTCTGTAGTGAAACACAGCCAGCTGTGGACCTAAATATACACACACGCCTGATCAAAGAGATTAGGTAGGGTAATGCGATCATCAGGAGGAGGAAGGTTTGTTGTAAGACAAATTACAGTTGAGAACAAAATTGCTTCTTTCATTGCTACTCAAAAGCTGGCTTGTTTGGGGGCTCATTTTGTGGGGAATGATTTCTAATCATGGCAGAAAAGAGAAAGGAGAGCTACCGTGGGGTGAGGAGGGGGAGTGTGTAAATGAGCAGTCTGTGCTGTGCACAGGACACTACCCAGAGCCTGCAACTGGAGTCAGCAGAGCTCATTAGAAACAGGATACGTTCTTCAAAGCCGAGTTGCTATGAAGTAAATGCAGGCACCCCTCTTCATTGAGAGGGTAAGCTTAGGAGAACACTCACAGTATAACCCCAACGTTATGAACACAAATCTAAAACATCTTGAAACCTGGGGGGATAACACACACCAGAAAACTAAGCTCTTATTCTAGGAGTTTAGGAGTCAACAATCTCATCCACACAGAGAGTATTTTCTATCTGATGTGCACATATATGAATGTGTGGGACTGTGTAGGAGCTTCTGTATTAATGGCATCTATTTCTTCAGGTACATGCATTGAACACACTGTGACCATCATTTGGGACAGTGGAAAGAGTACAGCTTTGGAATCTTAAACCCACTCAGTCTTAGTGTCAACATCCCATGAAAGGAAGGAACTTACAGATTCCTTCCAAAACTAGGAGGAATGAAGGAGATCACTTATCAGCCAACAACACTTTCAGCATGCAAACCATGTCAGCCTCCCTATTCCACAACAGATATCTTGATATATTCTTAGTAAGAATATTTCATATACATCAGTGGTTCTCAACCTTCCTAATGCTGCAAACCTTTAATACAGTTCCTTATGTTCTGGTGACCTCTGACCACAAAATTATTTTCATTATTATATCATGACTGTAATTTTGTTATTGTTATGAATCGTAAAGTAAATATCTGATATGCAGATGGTCTTAGGTGACCCTTGTGAAAGGGGTTGGGACCCATAGGTTGAGAACCACTGATATAAATGCTTGATATGTTTTAATATGCTGATCATATGACAACCACTGCAAGACTACTCACAGGTCACAATTAGATCAAAATGGATCATGCTATATATGAAACATTTTGTCATTTTTGTGTGTATGCAGAAAGCCCATGGGTCTGTACTCACATTTTAACTAAGAGCCAGTTGGGAAGATGGAGCTTTTGACCATCTCAGAACATTTTAATGCACTGTGAGTGCTACATTCAACATAACACAGCACTTAGTTGGATATTTTGACCTTTGCATGAATTTTGAATTTTAAAATGAACATAATAGACAAAATGCTGCAACTCTCTTCCTTCAAATATCAAGAACAATTATAGATCTTTTCAATGACAAACATCTAGTAGGGACCAAATCAGTGATTTCTACTTTCTAAGCTTTTTAAAAATGGAGCTTAAAAAACTCTAATCAGGAAATATTTAGAATATTTCAAGTGGCCCGAGGCCACATATATAGAGCTGTAGTTTCTGTAGGAAAAACAAATAGAACTGGGGTGTGTCTCAGTGTTATGATGCCTGCCTAGTATACATGAAGGCCTGCTTCATTCCCGACACTAAAACATATAAAACTAAAGCAGAGTGACAACAAAAACTGAACCCAGGACAGTCACCCATTCCAGGGTTTGGCTTGCTTTAGATTCTGTATAATCATATTTCCTTGTCTAGACCTTTATTGCTAGATATCAAGGAGATATTTCACATTTTTCATAGTCAGAAATATAACACATGTGCACCTGTTTAACTGTGATGCTTATGTCCATTTAAAAATGGTTTATATATACATACAAATCTACATATATGCACACACATAAATTATATATGTACATACACACATATGTACACACACATACATATATGGAAAGAGAGACAGAAACAGAGAGAGAGAGAGTGAGAGAGAAACTGAGATTGATTGAATTGCAGGTAACTAAATACCCCAAATATTCAATTGGTATGTTTAAGGTTGACACACTGTGTTAGCATTAAATATCTTTTTAGTAAATTTAATTTTAAAATACTTTAAAACAATTTTTCACATGATGATTGTGAGTGAATGGTGTGAGGCAACAGTAATGATGACTTAATGAATAAAAATAGAGCTCATTTGTATTCACTTTTTTCTTAAGAGTGGATATTGACTAGTATCTATGAACTTAAGCTTCAAAACTTTCTCTTATGAAAATCATGTTTTTTCAGTATGTTGGACCCTTCCTGAGACATCATATTAGGCACCAGAGAGAACAGACATGAGTACAACAGGGCCTTGTTTTGACTTTGAAAGTCATGTCCACTCCTTAAAGCAGATGAAGGTGGAAAGCTGGGGAAGAGCCTCTACTCAAGGGTTATGTCTTCTGCTTTGATCAATGACTTTGACAAATTACCTAGTTAGATGACAGGTACCATGAACTAGCAGCGGCCAGTGTCTTCACACAGGCACATAAGTACTCTGTACCCATTTATGAAAACTGTCTCACAATTATAAGCCATAGATATGCTAACTCAAGTCCACTTATGCTATCTACTTTAAATAGTTTGTTCACCATGATATAGAATTATTCATTGTTTTCACCAACTTTCAAAAACATAAAATACACAAAAGACAAAATCTTACCATTTCTTTGACATCCCTCTTCATTAAAAACAATACAGGAGTATTTATATCATTAATTGTATTAAAATTGATTGTATAAATTGTATTAAAATTGATACCTCACTACAGTATCAGTGATCCATAACAGGCTAAGAGGAAATCACATGTACTTACTTCGATACTGAAGTACCCTCTGTCAACATAGTCCCCTAAGAAGAGGTAGCGAGTGTTGGCAGGAGATCCTCCCACTTCAAAGAGCTTCATCAAGTCAAAGAATTGTCCATGGATGTCCCCGCAAACTGAAAGATAAAATAAATTTTATGGCAATATTAGCTTATGCGCCTGGATCATATAATCAAATTTGTAGAGCAGGAGAAATGAGACAGAAAAGCCAAGTCCTTTGCTGAAGATGCCAAAGTTCCTTAGTGGCAGATCTTGCTCTATGGTTCAGGCTTCCTAATTCACAAATTAACTGGGAAAATGGTGGTCATAAGAATAGCAGGGGCTGTTGTCATGCATTTAACAATACTGCATGAGATTCTAATAAGAAATTGATGTTTCCTACCTTCCTTCTAACAGTGTCATGGGCTAAGAATCCACTGTACATGTAAAGAAGGGGAAGACAAGCTCTGGGAAAGGTATATAATCTATGTATAATGGAGGTGTGAATTCATAAACCCACCATTATTGCTTTGTAAAGAAAAAGATGTTGATGTGTATAAGAAATACTATGTTTTGCTAGGTCTAATAGGCAACTGACATTTAAATTCTAAAAGAATGTTTTTGTAAGATATATTATCAATTGTCGAAACAATTTTTGTAAAGTATATCAGAGGAACTGTAATTGAATAAAATCACCAGGAACTGATATTTCTTAAATTTTCTCCTTTTGTAAGCTAAAACATTAGAAAGAATTCAGCTTTCTTTTGGCTTGATATTTACTACTTCTATTACTGCTGGGACCCTCAAAAATGAACACTATAATCTCTGCTGTGTGGAGGAGACAGTGTACATGGGATATGTAGTTTGACAAGGTCACTGCCAAAACTGAACAATTGGAGCTTCAATTCAGATTCATTTGATTAAAAAGTTTTCTTTTCAACCATCAAAGGCTTGTATGTACATGTATAAATTATTAATTATTTTGAAACACATTATGCTTAAATAATGGACATCATGCAGATGTTTCCTCAAAGACTGACAGGATCTTAATGTGCTGGATACTGTGATCACAGGCAAGTCACTGAGATAAGCTGAAGTTCATTATTCAGCAGTCATAGCCTTACAGATATACTACAGAATCCATTGATGCAACAACTGTAAACCAATGAATAAAGTTTAACTGATTTGGAAAGTCTTCTTTTCCAGCATGGAATAGATAAGAACCATTAAACAGTATAGGTAAGTGAGGTTTTAGGATGTCGGTGCTTTAAAATCTTGGTCTACTAAAATGATGTAAACAATAGGGAACCTCGAGTGCTTGGGCGGGCACACCTTTCCCAGTTCCAGCCAGAGCCTCTTCCCTCCCTTCAGCAAGAGTCACTGTAAAATGATCAGAAACATACTCTTTGCTTCTTCAAGTAACATCTCATCTTAGATTATTTGTACGTAAGGGCATTTTTATTCTTATGGTTGAGTGTTTCACAATTGGATCTTTATTCTGAAGGACTGAGGAATTTGGGCTGGGACTGAGCACATCATGTTCTTCTTGGGATAACATGATGATCTCAACTAAGAACAAAGGAAGAAAGAGACCACTCTTTTGTGAATATTTTGGCTCATATGTTGCCGGGCAAAGAAAGCTGGCCTTGGGGGAGACAAACTGCCACATATCCATGTGAAGCTACTTAAGCAGCTCTGGAAACCTAAAGGTTTGCAAACTCTTCCATTAAAAAAGTTGCAGCAAGTAGGTCTTAACCCAAAGCCTGCCTGGGCAACTTAGTGACATCCTGCCTGGAAAGGAAACGAAACAAAACAGGAAAAGGAGAGCAGGGGGCTACAGCTAAAAAATTAAAATAAAACATCTATCTTAAAAACTCAATTGGCTTATCTTCTATTACAATTTTTAAAAGGCAAGGCTGAAATGTATTAGCTAACAAGGAGTAAGAATTCCACTGATTTACATTACAGTGGAGCTGGTATGGTTGGTTACACAGACACCAACTTCTCTCAAGTTGCAGGGATTTTTATACCCGTTATGTATGTTTCAACCCAAAATTCATACAGGAAAAAAAGTGTTTGCCTAGAAAATATGTGCTCACATATCTTTCATTCCACCTGCAGAGTGAAGGAGGGAATACTACTGAATGCCAATGCCTGGGATCCCAATAGCTCTGGTCTGCCTGGCCACGGCATCTCTTTGTATGGTGGGTCCCTATTAGGGCATGAGGGTTGGTTACTGGAAAAGATTCAGAGAAAACATGAAGCTATGTGACCGGGCAAGATAGGCTTCAAACATTATTTTATGGTAGTGGCAAATTTAATCATCACATCATAGGCTGTTATTAAACTATCCCCAAGTCAAAACAGTCCAACGAGAACCACAAAAGGAAATGTGGAACCACACTAGCTGGCATGGATGGACTCTTGACTAGCCAGTGCCCATCCCCTGCTGTGTTTTTCACTATCTGAATGACCTTGGGCAGGTTATTCAAGTTCTCTGAGCCACCACATACTTACACACAAAATTCAGTGACACTGGCCTTATGCCTTACAAAAGATTGTTTGTGAGATTAACCATGTTAATATTGTAGCAGGCGTACGAGTTTCTGGATTTTTGTAAGAACGTGAGGAATGTTACACCAAGCACCATTTCTAAATGGCTGCATCTGGAATGTCAAGATGCTAGACTGAAGGGATTTTCCCGGTTGGGGCTGTAAGGAAAGCCTTCTGGACACATCCCAAAGCAACTGCCTTCTCTCCTCACCCTTCCTCTCCCACACCCTTCCTACCCTCTCTTGGCATTTTACCTTTCCATTTCAATTCCTGACCATGCCTGAAAATTCCAGAGTAATGGGTTTTACTTTGCCATGTCAGAGACGGAAATACCAGGATAGTCACTGAAGCTGTAGAGCACAGGTTAAAAATGTGGTAAATGACTCAACTGTAGGATGGCTGGGGAACTAGCAGGAAAAGCCATGATGGACAGGGCTGGGGGATGGCCGAGTGAGTAAAGAGCTTCCTGCCTAAGTGTGAGGTTCCGAGTTTGCATCTTCAGAAGGAAGCCAGTTGTGGTAGCTGGCATCTCTACTCGCAGTGCTTCTGTTTGCGATTGGAGGGTGAGACAGGAGAAGGCAATGGCATCTATGCAACGCCCAAACAAGAGACCATATCTCAAGGTGGACAGTGAGGATAGACAACCCAGGTTGCCATTGAGAGGCACACACCTGCTGTGGCTGTGTGCATGCTTGCATAGACACACATGGCACACACAGGCACATATCAAACACACCTACACAAAGGCACATGGTTAAAAAACATAAATTATAACAGGTGATGAAAAACTCTAGACAATTAAAAAAATCATAAAAACTTCTTTTGTTGGAATCTAGAAGCATTATTATCATGAGTGTAAATTTACATAATAGAAAATTAATCTTTTATTCTGTTCCATAATCTTGACCCAAAAGACCACCGTAAGTGTTGGATCATGGTTAGATGGCATAAAGAAGGGCAAAGTAATTATTAAAATCAAGTATTTAAAACCTAGGACCCAGACACACACTCACTCCTGTGATGTTTCACATTGTTATACCTCACAACCACTCATGATGACTATAGGCAAATGAAAACAACTTGCACACATAATTGTATCTAAAATGTTGAAGCCTAACGAAAGAAAACAGAAACTTAAATAAAAGATGCCTGAGAAACAGAAATCATTATTAAGGACATTTAAGTATTTTCAAGATCACTTAAGATATTTTTTAAGCCAATTTTTTTTTTACTTCCTCAGATTTCACAGACTGCCTACTTTGCATGTCATATGCTTAAAGTCTTTCCAGACTTTATTACATAAATGTGCTTCTCTCTGCCCCCATTCTTCAATCTTTTGCTGCAATTTATTGTCTTCACAGTGCTTATCATTTTCAGTAATTAACTACCTGACTCATTTGTTTCATGTTTCTATCCAGACTCTCCCCAATGGACTAGAACCTCTGCCATGATGGGTAGCAAGCAGCCCTGTTCACTCTATGGCCAAGACCTATAGTAGTGTCTATACCCAGAAGGCACACAGCCACTCACTGCCATGGGATTCTTCCACTGGACCTGTACCAAGCTTCATTTGAAAATCCATTAGGAAATCAGAGCATTTTTTGAGGTGCCCTTGGGGACAGACATGATGACAATTTTGTGGAGTTTGTCTTTGTAGAGGATGAATCCTTCAACTCTCTGAGATACTAGTTGTTTTAAGCTTTTAAATCCTAGGATTCTAAAGAGAGTCTATTAAGATTGGAGTCAAATACAGTATCTGCAAGCATCTCCTAGTGGCTACCTCACCTAGCCTCCATCAGAATCCCCACAGATGTAGCCTTATTAACAAGCTCTTGGATGATTCTTATCTAATCCATATAGACTTATTCCTCTGAACATCAGTTTTAGCTGTCATTCTGCATGCTGGTGTGCTTTGTCTCATAGCAGTCATATTTAGGTGGAAGTATACACTGGGGAAAAAAAAAAAAAAACTCTTTTGAGTCCCTTCCAGTCTGGGATGAGATTAGCACTTTATTATTATCTGAAAGAATCACAAGGAAGTAATGCATTCAAGGAGTCAGAGGAAGGGTTCAAACTACACATGGAATGACAAAATTGGACCCAGCCTCCTGATTAGCTGGAGGCTGTGAGCAACCTAGCTGCTAACTTGCCTCTTTCGTGGGCATTTGATGCATGGTGCTTCCCTATGCATGCTAGGACAGGCACAATGGTGAGTGGAAAGTGTAGCCAGTAGCCTTCCCACTAAGGGGCACAATGGCTCTGTCTTTCATCTTCTTTGGAATTGTCTAATGGTCACATTCTTCCGAAAGTTTGATATTAAAACACTAATTATTCCTAGGCACTAGACTGTTAGGATAAATCTGGTAACATATAGATAAAATACACAAAGCCCAAGTAATAGCTACCATGGAATGTCCAGAGAAAATCTGACATTCTGTCATTACACACAGCTCCTTAGGAGGCTAGGTCCTATCATACGCCACTGCACTTAGCTTTCACAGTACTGTTAACAACCAGGCTTTCAAAGTCCTATCACACTATCAGGAGAGCTTATTTCACAAGCACACTTCTATTTGTTCTATCC